ACTTTCATTGAAGGGGGGCTTAGCCCCTCCAACTTTAAGTAATATACATGTATTACTGTTATCAACACTATAGACTGTAGTTTAGGTAATCCTTATATGTGTGCATATTGTGTGGTGATTCGTTTTATAAAACTATTAATACAGTCTAGCTTAACTTTTAAGAACACACTTTTATTAGTTTTTTCAGAAATACACAAGCTTCTACTTCTTTATTTAACAACTCTGTTAACATCAGCTTCGGCTGAGCATAGATTTTCGACGTTAAGGAGATTTAAAACTACTTGCGCTCCACAATGTCACAAGAGCGAATCATGTAGTTATTTTGCATACACACAAAGAATTTACGGATGATTTACACATCGAGGACATTGCAAAGGAATTTGTTACATTTAATGAGCATAGACGCCAATATTTTGGACAGTATTAATTTCAGTACATGCTTTGTATTAATGATCAATTGTAAAAATAATACCTTAGCCCCCCCAACTTTTAGTTTGTTCCTACCCCTATGCTTAGTAGATGTATAACATACTGCACAAGGAGCATTGTGATCATGCTTTCCTGGAAATATATTATCACCAATTTTACATTCAGTACCATGCATGTAAGAAAAAACAGAAGGTACAGTTGTACTCAAATATTGAGGGACCTTTGGTAAACAGACATAGTTAGCTCCTCCTCCTGTATGATCATACCATTCACCTCCAGTTATTCCCTCACACAGTAGTTCAGCTCCAGTAGGACAGGACTTCCTTCCCCAATGAGTGTACACTACTCCTCCACTTTTAGGACCAGCTTGTTCTACAGGTCCAGTTTCACCTATCTCTCCTTTCTCTCCCTTATCTCCTCTCTCTCCTTATCTCCTCTCTCTCCTTTCACTCCATCTCTTCCTGGTACTCCATCACGACCATCTCTACCACGCAGCACCTCAACATAGGTTTGTTTGTTGTTGCAGGACAGTCCAGTGTTGGTGTTATTCTTTAATGGTATAGTTGTAGTTAGTGTCAGTATTAAGAGCAACACTGAACACACAACTAGTGACCTCATTGAAAACCAAGGCAGTGGTGATGATCCTAGGAGTTTGTGTAACTAAGAGAAGTAACTATTGTTAGACCTACTCTAATATCTATGGTTAGACTGCAATGGTAGTATCAAATTAAAGTTACATTCCTATACCTTTCCTTGCCATTCTTGCTAATTATATTAGCAAAATAATTTATTCACTTATTAGTATGGAAATAATCATCTCATTACCAAAATTCCTAAATAGAAATTCTTATCACACACTGTTAATTGTTACTTAGTTCACACAACACAATTATGAGCATATTATTGATACATATGCATGTTCTGGTGCTGTATATCTAGTTTGAGCTCATTTCAATTAAAACGATTTTTTTTAATGAATTTTAAACTTCAAAAGACATGGCAGCTCATGAAGCATGCTGTTCAGCTCACTTGGCATGCATGCTTTATGGGAAACCACAATACCATTATTTTTGTAATTTTCACACAAACACTAATGAATGATTAATACTAAATTATTTGCAATTGGAGGATGTATTGGGAATTTTGTGAAGATTTTACTATGAAAATGAGTCAGTTCATACTGTCACATATTACTTGTCACTCTTTTCTCTAGGCAACCCCCATAAGGTTTTGTTGTTCTATTACTCCTCAAAGGTTTGACTCTGAGCCAGTAATGGACTCTGCCTGTATACACTAAAATACCTGCCAACACTAGAAAAGTATTTTGTATTATTATTTAAACTTTGATTAACTACGTCCACTTTAGAGTACTATTAGTAAAAGAAAATGAGAAATTTGTAGCCCAAGCGTAAGAATAATGATGCTTTTCTTTTATCCCTCACTTCATTCTGTCTCTTAATTTCCCTTTTAGGTTCCATTACCTCCTATCCCTGTTGAAGAAGAGGTAATTAAGAACTTATTAGCTTTATTTTTTAGCTTTATTTATAATTATTATGTTATTTTAATAGGCAAAAACCAGTATGCTGATATGGGCGACATAAGAAAAAACAAAGTGAATAATAACTATTGAATTTATTAGTATACAATGTACTGCCAATGTACAAATTAGTAAACATTATTTTCTTTTGTAATTTTATCCAAATGTTTTTTTGCAGTGATCAGCAAAACATGATGATGATAATAATGCATAAATTGACTGTGTTTTTGAGCTTGTACTGAACCGAATTGAGTTATTCCTTTGTGCTATATCTATGCTTTACACTATTAATTATATAAATAAACTTCCTCTACTTTTTATGAATTATAGGTTATAGCTCCACCCATTGTAATTAATGATGTCGTTATATGATGAGCTTGAGCTTGAGAGACTTGACTCGACTGTCATCTATTTTTCCTCATTCTTCTCTTTCTCTTACGCATTCTCTTATCATACCATACTGTATAGTGCTGTGCCTTTAAAATTTTATGGATTGATCAAAATAAGGTGTCAAGCATACAAATTATTATTAATTTTTGTTGCAAACTAATGAAATTACAAAATTAACCCCCTAACAAAAATGTTAGGTGGTCTCACTGGTCTACCAACATTGGGCCGCGTGGGTCCCTTGGGACAATACTGTCACCGTCGTCTGTGAGAAATAATGTCGAAGATGCTCCTGCTCAGAGTTTTGTTGCTCTCTCTCAGTTTCGCCTTTTATTGGGTGGATTCTTGTTCAACGGTATCTAAAGGCAATGTATCACTAACTGGAGTATGTCCTAATGATACTTTTATTCTACCCATTGGAACTGGAGAAACACTTGAATATTCTTGCATTTACAAATCTAATGCGTCTTTCATAGTTGAGTTTTATTGGAATATCAGTGGTGATATTATTACTGCTTTTACAAGTCCTCTTCCAAATGGAATTGGTATATCTATTATTAATAATAGCATAGCTGACCTGAGGATTGCCACTAACACATTGTTAGATATTCATATTCAATGTGGATTGTGTTCATTATCCGCAACAAGACATTGTTCTTTAGATACAAAGTTGGTGGGAACAGAATCAATTCGACTGATTGCCTTTGGTATATTATTATATATTTCTCAATAATCTATAAATTATTTCCTGTTTCAGGTCCTCCTTCTTCATTATCCCATGAGTTAAGAGAGAATGAAACTGTTAAGTTGTCATGGTTACCTCCTCTAGCAGAAGCTGTATTATTACTCACATATGATATAATAATAATGGAGTCAACTAATAATTCACTGATAGTAACTGATATAAACATTACTAACAATACATATGTAATAATATCACCTGCTGATATAACTGATTATGCTGAATGTACCCCATATCAATGGGGAGTAAGAGCAGCTGCTAATTTAAGTTATGGATTTACTGGTGTAAAAATGGCAATGAAAAATTTTACTTTGATTTCAGGTACATTAGAATGCATTATTAGTTCAAAAATTATGTATAATATTTTATAGGTCCTAAAATATCTGATGAATTGATTGCTATTGATGATAATTATACCATTGAATTCAATGTAAGTACAGCAGATGCAATTAATTTATTATTATTATTATTATTATTATTATTATTATTATTATTATTATTATTAAATAGGTTACAGCTCCATGTGATATTGATCTATTAAACAATTACACATATATTTTATTACAAAAAGACTACTGTCAGATACCACTCAATTCATCACAGATTAATATCACTATACCACTTGATGATAATATTGTTCTGCCTAACATGTTAGTATCAATCCGTGTTAACATTAGATCATCGATTCATGATTTAACGTGGTCAGTAGCTGTTATTGTATCAAACAGGTTTGGTTCTAATACAATAGATTATACCAACATTACTAATAATTCAGGTATACATGCATAATTAATGTCAATTCTTATTAGTTAGTTTATTTTATAGAAGCTATTCAGAACTGCAATCCAATGACCTCTTCATCAGTATCACAAGTATCATCATCAAATATTCTATCTAGTTTAATTACATGTAAGTCAAAACAAATTCTTTTCTCTTTCTTCCCCCCCCCCCTATTTTTGCATGTCTTTCATGCATTGTATGGTAACATGAGAGTGTAATTTTGTCATTCTTTTTTGGACAGGGAGCCCCATTTCTACCTCATCATTTTCCTTTTCTGCTCCTTCTGTTACTCCAAGTAATATATAAACCATATCATGTAACATATCACTACAGTACTTGTGGAACAGGTGGAGAAAGTGGTAGAAGTAGTTGGACAAGTACTGATACTACTTTAGTTGTTTTTGGAGGAGTAGTCTTGCTTTGTATAGCAGTTTTTATTTATGTTGTTATGTATAAAGCAAAGAATAATAGGACATCCTGCACATGTCATTCCTGTGACATAAGAAATTGTAATTATAAGAAAAAGAGAGAGAGAGTGACTGACTAATTGACTGAGATTAAGTGTTAGAGGGGGGAAAATTTGGAGATATAAGTTGAGCTAAGTTATCTTGTCTGGTCATGTTTGTCTTAATTCTTATTTTAGTTGTGAACAAAGTAAAGGATCTTAAGTGAGTTTTAGAATAACAGTATAAACATATTGCTTTCTAATGTTTTACACAGAATAAATGACACTAGCTTGGCGGTAGAGTCATCTAAAACAACAGTTGAAGTAAGATATACCTTAGGGTGGGCATTAATTGTGCTCTTAAATTTTTATCGTTTTCAAAGGGACCCTGATTTAGCAAAATGTAATATTAGCAAAAATAGCAAAAAAAATCACTGATGAAACTTCAATTTAACAGCGTAACATGACTCAAGAAGCCCATTTTAGCCATTTTAAGAGCAGAACACTTACTAGGTTCACCCTATCTACTGTTATTTTGTTACAGATCCTGCCTACCGGGTATCTTGTGTACTATTTATACAGGAACATAATAACTCTTATTAGTGGTTGGTTGAATTAGTGGTTGTAAGTAAACTAAAATTAATTGCAATTAATATCCACCCTAAGGTAATTGATATGTCAATTACTTTATTTCCTCATTCTATTTCTCTCCATTCAGAGTTCACCAGTTGGTTCGGCAGACATTGTTGATGAAGACTACAATAATGCAGAGACTTCTTTTCAGACACACCTGGTAATGTACATGTACATGCATGTAAAGTTTGTATACATAATGCAATTGGATTGAAGGCACACATCTCACAGTTTGTGCAGAATTAATTAATTAAAAACATTTGCCTGCTGATTGAAATCCTGATCCTGCATATCAAGAGCCAGCACAGGCTCTCTCTCTCTCAAGCTAAAACAGTCCACCATCTTTAGCTTATGCTGAACCAATGGCAGCAACTGCCCTCAAGTATTTACATGAGAGTCACAAAGTGACATCGTCTTGATTACATAATAATTACATGATCATTACATGATAGTCACATGATCATCTCTCTCGTTGAGAATATTCTACTAATTGGTATAAATTGATATTATTATTATAGACTATTGTATACTGAATTTTTAATTTTTTTCTTTTTGCAGGATCCATTGCCTCTTGCTCCCAGTGAAGAAGCTGAGGTAATAATTGTTGCTGTTCTTGTTATTATTATTATTATTGTTATTATTTTTGGTTATTTTTCATAGGCAACACCTGATTCAGAGTAAGCACCTGTATGCTGATTTAGATGAAATTAGGAAGGTAATGATAATACTAAACACACACACATACTCTCGAAAACCAATAATGTAAAATGATGTGTTTTAATGCAATACACACTCATCTGAAAATGCCTAAAACCAGAATTTATATCTTATACCAATCTTGCACAAGTAATTGTATAATTATGCTTTCATGTTTGTTTTCATTATAATATTTTTATTTGAATGTACAGGCTGGGACATGCTCCTCCACCCACTGTTCTTAATGGTGTTAAATATTCACAAGTAAATTGATGTATCATGTTAATTGATTTATAAACTCATTCATTTAAGCATTGTATTTTGAATCAAAATAATAATCATTTATAATTGGTTAATCACACACAAAAGTAATGAGGGCAATACAAACAGTGATGATAAATCTGCATTGTAAAAGTGTTTAAAATGAATAGATATTAAAATTCTGAAGTTACTTGGTGAGAATGTCTATTTTTTCTCCTCTTATTCTTGGCTTGGTTTTCAAGCATATAAATTTTTGTACGCAAACCCAATAACACGTGCATGAATATTAGGTGCAACATTATGAATACTGTTATGATCAATGTAGAGGGTGGGGTTAGTCTGTTTGAGATGAGGCTTGGTTTGGAGAACTACATCATGTCAATTTTCATCTTCATTCTGATCCTACTCCACTTACAAGTTGTGGTACCAGTTAATGTTAATTTGGATAATGGTACTGACTCTTCTAGTTGTTTGGATGGTTCTGTTCCTTGCAAAACGCTGTCGTTTGTACTGGAGAGAATACAAACTAGAAGTTCAATCCTTGTCCACTTGTCTGAAGGTAACCATACTTTATCATTAGAAGCTACAATGAACTATAAAATAAGTTTTAGATTAATGGGTCTTCAGACCAATACTACAATAGTACAATGTACTAAAGGCAGTGGGTTTAGTTTTAAGCACTCCAATGATATTCATTTCTCTAATTTGACAGTCAATGGCTGTGGAATGTATCACAACAGCACTAGCAGTCCTAGTGGAAAGTTTCTGCTGTTTCAAGCTGCTATGTATATTCTTTTTTGTTCAAATGTTTACTTTGATAGTGTAATAGTTAGTAACAGCACTGGTGTTGGTGTAGTATTCTACAGCACTGTTGGAACTAACATCATTAAGCACTCAAGCTTCACTTATAATGCACCGTCTGGTACTGAATATGGTGGAGGTGGTATATCTGTAGAATTTGTCTACTGCATACCAGGAGACACACAGTGTACTAACATCAGTGGCTCTGCAATCCCTCTTAACTACACAGATGGTAGTATCACTGATGCATCATACGAGTTCAGTGATTGTCAGTTCACTCATAATATCGGAAACGTCACTAGTAATCTCTTCATATCACCTTCAGCTAATGACAATATAGCTTTAGGTCGTGGAGGAGGACTGTCCGTTGTGTTTAAAGGAAACATAACAAATGTTCCTGTATACATCAACAATTGTTTATTCAATAACAATACTGCAGTTTGGGGAGGTGGATTGTTGATTGAATTTCAAGACCGTTCCACTAATAATGCTATAGTTGTTAATAACTCTGTGTTTTATTCTAACCAATGCCCGTTTGTATCATGCACATATAAAGGGACTGGTGGAGGTGGGACTAGAGTCCTCTTTGCTGGAATTGGTCACAACATTCATAATAATTCCGTCCTATTCACAAACTCAACCTTCTCGTACAACAGAGCTTATTTTGGAGGTGGCTCATCATTTTTGACATTTAGAGAGAACTCCAGCTACCAAATGAATAGAATGCATTTTGATAATTGTACTTGGCATCGAAATGTTGCACGGCTTGGCTCGGCTGTTGATTTATCAATTTGGCATTTGGAGTCAAGTGACGGTGGGTTAGTGATAATGCAGCCAGTGTTTACCAATTGTGTATTTCAATTCAATTCAGTTTATTATACTAACTACACAAGTACGCCTGCTGGAATAGGAACATTGTATACTGACTCTGTTCCGATTCAGTTTCAAAACAACACACAATTTTTCAGTAATTTTGGCTCAGCTGTAACCAGCCTTGATGCAGCTGTTGAGTTTCAGAGCGACTCTGTTTCACATTTCATAAAGAACTCAGCTCAGGCTGGAGGGGGAATGACTCTCTTTAATAAAGCATTTCTCATGCTAAATGCTAATACTTCAATCAATTTTACCCACAACAAAGCTTTTCTTAATGGTGGTGGATTGTACTGGGAAAACATTGGTGACCACCAATTGATATCATCTCGTAACTGCTTTATTCGTTATTTTGATTCTGATATTGACCCTACACAGTGGCAAATAAGGATCCTTTTTGATGGCAATCATGCTAACCTATCTGGCCATGCCATATATGCTACTACAATATTAGGATGCTTATGGGGGGACCAATCTCATGGCGAATTAGTTAATCCAAAAACAGATTATTACAAAGTTTTTTGTTGGAGTCAAAGTGCATGGAACTATGGGCCTAATACCACTTGTAATGACACTGATGTCATTGCTACTTCCCCAGCATATTTTGCTGACAATGAGGGCCATCCACAGTGTAAGGATTCATACAGCATTAATGTCATTCCAGGTAAGGAAAGTGTTCTTCCTGTAGTGATGCTTGATGACAGATTGAAACCTGTTCCAAGCAAGTCTCTGGTTTTCTCTCTCTATAGGAACAGCACTTACGATACAGTGACAGAATATATCACATACAGGAATGTGTCTTATTATGGTGATCCATATGAAGACAATCAAGCAAAACTTTTCTTGAAGACTATTCACCCTCGAGTCATCTCTACAAAAATTGATTTAACGTTTGAAAAGTGTCCTCCTGGTTTTGTCATTAGAGGTAACATTTGTGAAGGAGGGGAATTCCCAAATATTAGACTTCACACAAACTTTACTGCATCCATTGAGTTTGGTTACTGGATTGGTCCAACTAGTGAGTCTTCTAATAACTTGAAGGTTGGACAATGCTTGTATTGTCCACAGAATAATAAACTGAGTCGAAGTAGCTTTGTAACTTTGCCCGAATCATCTGATGATCTCAATGAGTTTTTCTGTGGGGATTTAAACAGAGAAGGAGTCACGTGTGCTCATTGTAAAGCAAACTACAGTGTTGCTGTCAATTCGAAGCAGTTCAAATGCATTCCTTGTTCATCTGACTCTATTTTCTATTCTTGGGCATTCTATTTGTTAGCTGAGTATCTTCCTTTAACTATAATGCTCATCATCGTTATTGTCTTTAACATTTCGGTGACATCTGGACCTGCAAATGCATTTATATTTTTTGCACAAATTATTTCAACTACATTTGGGATTGATGCTAATGGAATCATTGATTATCCATCTATAACCCCTGCAGCTTCAGTCCTCAAGCAGATATACATATCACTGTATGCATTTTGGAATCTTAGCTTTTTTAGTGCAATTGAATTGGATGGATGGCTATTTTGTTTGGGACCTAATGTGAACAGTCTTCATGTAATGGCCCTCAAGTTTGTGTCAGCTTTTTATCCACTTATAGTGATTGGTCTTGTAGTCCTTGTTTTGCATCTTTATCATAATGACTATCGATTTATTGTGTGCATCATTCGACCTCTGCATAGAGCTACAGCAAGGTGTCTTAGTTGGCTAAATCTTCAAAGATCTCTAATGGATGCTTTTGCTACATTTCTTATTCTTTCTTATGTAAAATTTGCTGTCACTTCGTGTCAATTGTTATTTCCTAACACATTGGTTGATGACACGGGACATACAGAGTTCGTTTCCCTTTTTAATGGTGATTTCCAATTCTTCTCCCTCAATTATGCACCTTATATGCTGACATCTTTATTCATCCTATTTCTTTGCACATTTTTTCCAACTATCCTGTTCCTTTATTCTATCAAGCCTTTTTACACGTGCTTGGAGAGACTAAATTGGAAACCATTAAAGCCTGGAGCTAAAACACAGCTTTTCCTGGATTCTTTTCACCAGTGCTTCAAAGATGGCAGCAATGGTGAACATGATCGGCGCTACTATGCAGCTCTTTATTTCTTTTTTAAGCTGGCTCTCATTACTACTTTTGCATTTGGTCTAAGCTGGACAATACAATATGTCTTACAGCAGTTTATTATTACTATTGCTCTCTTGTTATTGGGTTTACTTCAGCCATACAAGAAATTTTGGTATAACGTCCTGGATTTGGTCATGTTTAGCCTCTTGTCTTGCATCAATGTAATCATACTCTACAATTATTACCTTGAGAGTATTAATAGTCCACTTTCTAACACATTTTATTGTGTTCTCATTTTACTCCTCTTCTTGCCATTGATATATTTTACAGTCTACATTGCTTGGTTTCTTATTAAAGCGATCAAGAAGAGATGTTCTTTTAAAAAACAAAAGTTAAATGCAAGTGACAACCGTGATCTGGAAGATTTTAGTTTTAGTACTTTCATGGCCAATGTTAATCAAGAGAATCGATTTGAGCAAATTAATTACTATGGCTCACTAGTACCAGATGAATATACACCGGTAAAAGGGCAAAGTGGTGATGAACCAAGTCACAATACACTGGATGTATACAGGAACAGAAACACCACAGTCACTAGTAGCTTCAGTGAAGTACAGCCACTGGTGCAAGCAGAAAATGAAGAAAATTGAGAATGCACTATCATGTGTATGTGTGTTTGTTTAAATTTTTAATTGTTAAAATAATTTTACTGTGTTACTGCTGAGTGCTTTAATGTAATTTATTCATTATTCATAAATTTCATGATTAAATTGTAGTGGTGTGGTTATTACTATTTTGCTCCGCCCATTTAATACCAACTAAAAATGCCTACCACAACAAGTGGTATTAGTCTTCCAGGAAAGCCTGACCCCATGAAAAGGAAGGAGATATATAGGTACACTACCCCGTGGGTTGTATATGGTATGAACTGGAGTTTTAAACCAGACAAGAGATTCAGACTGGCCATTGGTAGCTTCATTGAAGACTATTGTAACAAGGTATTGTTAGGCTTTTGAATTAGCTATTAAATCGTGACAATGCTACATTAGCACCTGCAAGTGATTTTTTCAATTCTATTACCTACAATTCTAATGCATACATGTACATGTACGAATGTATTTCTGTGCCTTGACCAAAGACGACAATTAAGTTTGTGTTATATTTTTGATTTACTTAGCGCTATATTAGTAACTGTTTGTGAACAGTTATATTATAGTATTTAATGTATCTATAGGTTCAGATAGTACAATTGAATGAAGAGACTGGTAATTTCAGCCATACAGCAACTTTTGATCATCCTTACCCTACAACTAAGATAATGTGGATACCTGATATGGTATATGTAATGAACGGAGAGAGAGAGAGAGGGACGAGAAAATACCATTATTTATTTATTTTATTTTATTTGTTTATTTATTTATTTATTATGTTCAGGTTGGTCAGTTACCTGATCTTGTTGCTACTTCTGGTGATTATCTTCATCTATGGAGGATCAATGGATCTGATGTTAGACAAGAATGTATGCTAAATAATGTAAGTATTGGAAGTGAAAATTGGAAAGGATATGAATTTCATTAATTTTATATACAATATTTGCCCACACGTCATAATTGGCTGCCATTTTGGTTGGCAAGTTTGTTAAGGAAGTCAATGAAGGCACAAAGAAAATGCCTCACTTACCTGCTGTAGCTCTATCAATA